CCGCCACCTCTGGAGGTTCTACAGCCGTACCATCAGGAAACAGGGAGAGTTCATTAGTATCCTCCTTAAGACAGGTACAGAGTTCATCAATGGTTCCTTCGACCACGACATGACAGGCTGAAAGTGTATTGCTGGGCGCCACCACCACGCAAGGAGCTGAAGCGAGCACCGCCGCCTCGTGAGGTTCTGCAGCATATGCCGCCACCTCTGGAGAAACTGCAGCGGACACCATTGCTTCGGGGAACACAGCAGTGAGCGCCACTACCTCAGGAGGTTCTGCAGCATCAGCCGCCACCTCTGGAGACACCATAGTGAATGCCGCCACCTTGGGAGGTTCTGTGGTGGTGTATGCTGCCCAAACACACCAAAAAGCTGACTCTGGATGATCAGCTGTGATGTGACGTGACTCTGGATGAACTGCTGAGACGTGACGAGACTCTGGACGAACAGCTGAGATGTGGCGAGACTCTGGACGAACAGCTGAGACGTGGCGAGGCTCTGGGAGATCAGCTGAGACGTGACGAGGCTCTGGCAGATCAGCTGAGATGTGACAAGACTCTGGAAGATCAGTTGAGACTGGCCTGGACTCATGACGAGCAGCTGTGACTTGACTTGACCCATGACGATCAACTGTGACTTGACTTATGAGGATCAACTGTGACTTGACTGAACTCATGAAGATCAACTGTGACTTGACTGAACTCATGAAGATCAACTGTGACTTGACTGAACTCATGAAGATCAACTGTGACTTGACTGAACTCATGAAGATCAACTGTGACTTGACTGAACTCATGAAGATCAACTGTGACTTGACTGAACTCATGAAGATCAACTGTGACTTGACTGAACTCATGAAGATCAACTGTGACTTGACTGAACTCATGAAGATCAACTGTGACTTGACTGAACTCATGAAGATCAACTGTGACTTGACTGAACTCATGAAGATCAACTGTGACTTGACTGAACTCATGAAGATCAACTGTGACTTGACTGAACTCATGAAGATCAACTGTGACTTGACTGAACTCATGAAGATCAACTGTGACTTGACTGGACTCATGAAGATCAACCGTGACTTGACTTGACTCATGAAGATCAACCGTGACTTGACTTGACTCAGGAAGATCAGCTGTGACTTGACTTGACTCAGGAAGATCAGCTGTGACTAGACTTGACCCATGATTGGCAGTTGTGACATAACGGGGCACTGTTGTGTCCGCCGTTTTGTGATCAGGCTCCACTGTCGCCGCCATTTTGAGAGCGTGCTCTAGTGCGGGGTCGCGTTCCTCCGCGATACCCACAGTGAACGCTGAACCAACAGACAACAGAGCAGAGGTACATTCCCCCCATTCAAAGTGAGGGGGCACGTGCCAAGTGGATTTTGAATGCAGCTTCCAAAAGACAAAAAATAGCCGAATAACATTTTTTATATTTCATACAATCATACCGGCGTGATTAGAAGGTGCAGTGAGGCACAGCATCAGCTGCTAAATTCAAATCTGCGTTCGTTCGCTGGTTGGCGCTGAGCCAGAGAAAGACGTGTTTTACAGTGCTGCGCATTATAACCAATCAACACACGATTCTGTTGAGTTTATAAATGCAATGGCCAATCAGAGGCGTTCAGATGAGTCATCGCTGAAATGCCAGTGTTTTGTTCACTCGCTCACTGAAGGAATTCTGCTCTCTGACAATTCTCTCATCAGAAACAACAAAGTGCAGATGTGCGTACGATGTGAGTAGGATATTCATTTCACAGTTTAAACAGCTTCAGTGATTATAATGAGAGTTTTTGAGAGTGCTTAAAATGTTCTTTGATAATGTAAATATTCTTTGCTTTCTTTCTGTACAATGAAAGTGTTATAATTAGTAAATTACAATGTTTTTATTAAATTCACATTAAATACACAGTCAGTCATATTAAAAATATTTTATGGTATGTCACCCATATCTGGTACTTAAGTAAAAAGACGGGTTTTTATGCGTAATTAATACACTATTAAGGTTACTTAGCCCATCGCCCATTATAGATCAATGAACATAAAGGTGCAAAATGCATTTACTTAAACATATTTGAGAATCAACATATTTCATGATATAGTTAACACGTTTGGGAATATTTTGAATAAAAAGGAATATTTAAATAATTAATAATCAGTTATATAGCCCCCCCCCCTTCACCCCTGCCCCCTCAAAAAAATGAGTGCATGATGCCCCTGCAACAGAGCGTAATCCATAAAATCACTTAGAGAAGAACGGGGACCCTCACGGATTAATCGTGTCTTTAAAGGTTCATTGATACCCTCACAAAAAAGTCTATAAGCACACAGTTTGGCAGATCAGAACAATATGCGAGATCTAAATACTCTTGTACATAATCCTCAAGTGATCGCAAGCCCTGCACGAGGGTTAATAACAGTCTTGCAGTGTCTTTACCTGGCCAATGTTGACATGAAAAGCTGCTGGATCCTTGTGTGGCCGAGTATTCTGTTACGGAACGACTGACACGAGAGACGTGCGACACCAGCAAACAGATATAGACAAGGCAAGACTAAAGAGTATTCCATATACAGGCGTGGGTCAAACGACAGCAAACGTAATCCAGAGGGCGAGGCAAACGGGTAATCCCAAAACATGCAATAATCTAGGCAAGGGGCAAACAGAGTCCAAACGACAAAACAAGAGAGAAATCCAAGACAGGCAGGTCATCAAGAAACAGACAATCAGGCAAACACGACATGGCTAAACTCAGACTAGAACTCGGAACATGAAACTAGGATCGGGAACTGGCTCCGTAAAGTTGCTAAGGCAAGACAGTGATACACACAAACAATTCTCGGCAGTGAGGAAGTCCATGGCTTATGTAGGGTGTTTGATTGGTTGCAGCTGTGTGTGTAATCAGTGCAATGGATGATGGGAAATGTAGTCCGGGGTGACATGCAACAGTTTGTGTCGTGTGAGAGTCAATGTAACTGGAAGGCAACATCTAGTGGCGAGCAGACGGAAAACCACGGACCAGATTCGTGACAGTATCTGCGCAGAAACATCGAGAACACGAGCACCAGGGAAACAGTGAGTGTGCACTTTACCTTCAGCTAACGTAGCACGGACGTGCCGGACGATGGAGTCTCCGACGATCACAGCGTTGCGTTCCGTCTCACGGAGGGGAGCGAAGCGGTTCCGGGTGGAGATCTCGAAGACCGGAGGAGGCGGAGAGGTCGTCGCCCAGGGCCTGGCTCGCATCTTTCGCTGCGTGTGCATCCAGGGTCCGTGGTGTCCCGGCGCCGGAGTGAAGGACATCTGGGAAGATCGCGCGTCCTGGGTGCATGGGGCCTGGGCAGAGAAACACACGGAGTAGAGGTGGTGGGAGAGTTAGCAGCGCACTGTATACTTACAGCCCGGGATGTTTCCAGCGCGGCTCTCTGTTCCCTCAGCTGGGTCTGCCTCTCCACCAGGTCGTAGATCTGCTTCTCCACGGCTTCCAGCTGGCGCTGCACCGAATGCAGCTCGAACGTGTCCTCACCTGCACTCAAAGGTAGACACACATCCGCCATTAAAGCAAGTAACAGTGAGTACAACAATGGTAATGTGTGTGAATAGAGTATTAGCAATGTAAGCAAGACTAGCGGCAACCATGCTGGCGATGCTAATGAGCTATAAGCTAATAGCGGACCCGGGAAATCAAAATAAAACTAGTTATAACAAGGCGCTCTGATTGTTGTAGATTGTTGTTTTGTTGTAGAATACGATAGGGGATATATTCACACGTTATAGAAACGAAAATGATGGTGTATAAAATTGATTTTAAGATAAAAAATAGACGATAAAGAATTATCTTGACGGAGCTCAAACTCAAAACACATGGCAGCAACAAAGAGGAAGTGACGTCTACAATGTTAGGTAGGTTATTCCAGAGTTTGGGCGCTAAATAGGAAAAGGATCTGCCGCCGCAGTTGACTTTGATATTCAAGGTATTATTAAATGGCCAGAGTTTTGAGAACGCAGCAGACGTGGAGGACTATAATGCAATAAGAGCTCGTTCAAATACTGAGGTGCTAAATCATTCAGGGCTAAGTGGAAAAATAGACTATACTAGCGAACAATTGTGTTGTATAATTTCACAATATTGCTGTTTTACTATATTTTTGTTCAAATAAGTGCAGCCTTGGTGTCGAGTGAGGTGGGTTTGCTCGAAATATTGGCCGGCCTGCTGGAGTGGATTTAGGAGTGAGGTTGGATGATTGCAGAGACACGAATATCTTAGATCGTACAGTGTGTTACAGTTTAGTTTTTGACTATTTTTCATAATGAAAAATCATAAAAAATGTGCAAAAGCAATTACTTTCAAAATAACTGTTGTAGAATAACCAGCAGGAGAGCAGCGATGTGTGAACTGAATTTGGAGAAAGTACGGTGTGTTACGGTGAAGTTTGACTATTTTGTCCAATAACAGTGAATTGATGGCATATTTAAAAAAAAAATCATAAAAATCTTTCAAAAGCAATTATTTTCAAAATAAGTATTGTAGTTAAACCAGAAGGAGAGCAGCGATGTGTGAACTGAATTTGGAGAAAGTACAGTGTGTTACAGTGAAGTTATTGACTATTTGTAATAATAAAAAATCATTAAAAAATGTGTAAAAGCTATTATTTTCAAAATAAGTGTTGTAGTATAACCAGCAGGAGAGCAGGGATGTGTGAACTGAATTTGGAGACAGTACAGTGTGTTACAATGAAGTTATTGATTATTTTGTCCAATAACAATGAAAGCAATGACTATATTTCATTTCAAATAATAAAAAATAATATGCAAAAGCAATTATTTTCAAAATAAGTATTGTAGTTAAACCAGCAGCAGAGCAGCGATGTGTGAACTGAATTTGGTGACACTAAAGCGTGTTACTGTACAGTTATTGAGTATTTTGTTAGCAACATTTTTTGCGTTTCGCACTTTGCAGACGGTCCCTACGGACTTGTCTCTCAGACACCAGAGCATTGAGATCAATGCGTTTTGTACAGAGCGGAGGAAAGCTTGTTTTGAGGAAAACTCGCTTGTAGCTCCTTTTCTACATCACTACGAAAGAAAAGAGGCGTCAATTTTGTAGTAAAAATATTTTGCTCGTGAGTTCAGAAGTCAGAAGTGGAATCTGTGAATATCTTGCCAACTTTACCAAACTCCGAATCAAAGAGTAAACACGGTGTAAATAAGAGATGTATCGTGGCGTGCAGAAACCTTCTTTGATTGTAACGGGAGTTTTAGCAAGAGTGCAGAAGTAACGACAGCTCCATGCATTGTGTTCGGAACGCTCTTTGCTTTTGTTGTGTTTAGACAGAACACAGCATTCACAGATTGGGTTTCATGCTTGCATCGGCCACTTACACCCCGCAAAGCGTCAGGAGTGTCACCAAACAAGCTTCATGTATTCGTGTTGTTTCTGCAGGCAGAGGTGAGTAGTGCATATTAAGGAACAGTTTGTGCGAACATGTCATTGTTAACAGGGCAACATTCATTACATGGGAAACCGAAAGTGGTTCACTTCATACTTTTACTTTCACTTTTAAAGCTCACTCACTCACATGTCTGAATGCATGCAATTGTTTAACTGTGAGTTCGTCTCAAATGTAATTTCTGTATGAGCTTAGCCCGAGCTTTATCGAGTAAACAGAGGTCTTGGTGTGTTAGAACTGCTGTTTGTATGTGACTGGTGTTATGTTGCAGATTGATGGAAGACAGGTCGAGGCACATGCGACTGAGAGAATGGCTCATAGCGCAGATAGACAGCGGTGAATACGCTGGACTGAGCTGGGAAAATGAGGAGAAAACCATGTTCAGGATTCCCTGGAAACACGCGGCCAAACAGGACTACAGACAGAACCAGGACGCCGCGCTGTTTAAGGTAAACATACTATGCAGTTTTACCATTAAACCCACTTTCAGTTGAGGCTTTACATATCTATCCGAACGGACGAAACTGATATTAGTGTACTGGCTTGATTGCTGGTGATTATATCTGCACGTAGCTTTTCATTTCTATCATTCCAACTATATTTAATTGAATTTCCCATTTAAGTCCAGTTGACTAAAAAGGTACACAAATTGCAAAAAAATACAAAATAAAGCTGCTATACACCAATACATTTAGACAGAAAGCAGATTAAACACACGCTCTGTCTCAGGCATGGGCCATGTACAAGGGTAAGTTTCAAGAGGGCAGGGACAAAGCAGACCCCTCTACGTGGAAAACGCGTCTGCGCTGTGCCCTCAACAAGAGCACAGACTTCCAGGAGGTTCCTGAGCGCAGCCAGCTGGATATCTCTGAGCCGTACAAGGTCTACCGGATCCTGGACGACACAGGGAGAGCTGCAGGTATTATGACCGATCTAGACCCGTGTTCCTCAAACCTCCGCCACCCACATCTCACTTCCTCATTAATATAAATATATCCACTCAGACACAGTCATACTCAAAACCAGCTTCAAATATAAGCTACTCCTTGTGTCTTCCAGACCCTGCTGGAATATCACTGGACAGTGACTGCAGCAAAGCCTTGAGAGACACACATCTGCCCATGCAGGTACTGTTCAGTGACGACTCCTGTGGAAATCCCCACATGCACCACACTGACTGCAAACTTGGATGACATTTATTGTTCTGCCCCCTACTGGACGGATTGCGTATGAAAATAATAGTTTATTTTCACCTCCAGCAGGACAGTTCGCTTGGTGACTCAAACAAAGCTGCTGGATGGAGTGGTTAGTGTTTTACTGTCAATAACAATGACTTACTAAAAACAGACAAACAAAGAGTTACGTTGAGTGTATGTGTGTGTTTGCAGTGAATGGCAGGGCGTATGCGTGTCCCAGCACAGGCACTAACTCCATTCCTCTATACCCGTCTCAGGTCTCCATAACTGGTGAGAGAATTTCTAGCAAGCTCATCCTCTAATGTTCCTCGTTTTATGAAGTACCAACTTGAAACTAGATGTAATTGTGATTTTAAAGATCGAATTACTCACTGGGAGGAAAACAATGTATAACATTAGGTGTACGCTGAAAACTGAAGCCAGTGTTAAAAAAGCGATGCTGTTTTTTCGTGTGCTTGCGTGCAGACTACCGCCTGGAGGTGCGCTTGTTCTATCACGGTAACCTGGTGCAGAATCTCGTCACTACGTCTCCAGACGGCTGCTTCATTCTGCAGGGCTGCACTCCGGTGGGGAACGAGCGCATCTACGGGCCTTGTGAAGCCAAGAAGGTCTTCTTCCCCTGTCCAGACATCATACACCTGCCCCCGGGCATCTCCGAAGCCATGACCCGTCTTCTGCCGCACCTGGAGAAAGGTGTGCTGGTGTGGGTGGCCCCAGATGGTGTGTTCATCAAGCGCTTCTGCCAGGGCCGCGTGTACTGGGACGGCCCTCTGGCAGAGCACAGACAGAAACCGAACAAACTGGAAAGAGAGAGGACCTGCAAACTCCTGGACATGACCATCTTCATGCAAGGTGAAGGAGGGAGGGGGCTTAGCCTGGGGAGACCAGTGCTTTTTGCATTTCGCTGATCCTTCAGTCCTCACGCTGTTTCCTGTGTTCTTGGCAGAGTTACAAAACCACCGGCAGGGCACTGGTCCCGAGCCACAGTACACAGTGGACCTGTGCTTCGGAGAGGAGTTCCCTGACCCCAGCCAGCCAAAGACCAAGAAGCTCATCACTGCACAAGTGAGTGTTCGGTAGCATTACCGGAGATGTACTGAGCGTTCAGACAGTAAGCCTGTGCTGCCCTTCACAAGCATCTGTATTGAAACGTATACAAACGATTTTGCCTAGTTTAGTTTATTTGAAAAATACAAAACTTCACAACTTGTTTGTCAACGGTAGCACAAGAAAAGACTGAAAATGAACAGCTATGGCAGCAGAACATTAACACAAATAACATCACAATGAAACGTTTTCGGCTCAAGCTAAAAACTGCCTTATTTAACCCTTTGTGGCGCTTTATCTTTTTCTGGAAATGGACTTTCATAAAAAGTTCAAAAGAACAGCATTTCCTTGGAATATAAATCTTTTGTAATATTATAAATGTCACTTTTGATTAATTAAATTCATATTAATTTATTTTCTAACTACCTAACTTCTTTTCTTGACCTACAGTGTATAATTTGTAAAATATACGCTGATGTCTAAAGAAGAGTCTATAATAATCCCTTTAAAACTTTGATTTTGATGACATGTTTTATTCACATCATTGCGCATTTTGTAGGCGACTATAAAGTTCACTCTGTTTTTTTCCTGCCTGGGCGATAAAACGATATCAGTATTTATTGACGGTACACCTTCATCGATAACAATAGAAAAAATTAGCAGTATAGCACACGATATAGGCACGTGCTATCAGTGAATGGAATAAAAAACCCACAAATTCTTGAGACAAAATTTGAAGCTCTTTTAACTTTACATGGCTTTCTCTTCATCTTTTGTGTGAGACGCAAATGCAAGTTAGTTGTCCGTCTCGAAAATGCGCAGAACATGCGTTCTGTGTGAATGGCTTGGTTACGGTTTTATCCTAACCAAGATCTTCTCTGCATTGAGCGTCTATATTTCTCTAGTATGTTGAATGAAAATCGCAGCAGCAGCAGCAGCAGGGCATCTCGTGGGTTCAGCTTGGCAGGCTAACACAAACGCTAAAGTACAATGCTAAACGACACTTACATCATCATCACCACCGCATCTCGTGCGCCACTGAGAAGGCTCCCGGACCTAAAATTCAAATGCACCATTTTTGATTTCAAAATATAATTTTATTATAAATTTGACTAATATTAATTTCTTTCATTCACGATCTCTTAAACGCAGACAGGCACAGCACTCATTTTAACATGTGCTTGTGTGTTCTGAATTAAATACAGTCTGTATGATCGGCGCTTTGGATTTTTGTATTAAGCTATGCATAAATACATGATGCTGTTTTGTTCATAATTGCTTATGCAATTTACGAAATTATACACTTTTTTTATAGATAGCCATTGTTTCATTGCATTGAATAAACAATTGAATGCGGTACATAATTTTGCTCATCGCGCCCTCCTGTGGCTTCAGGAGACAAGTCAAAAAGTTTCCTTAACACTAATCTGCATATAAAATAATTTAAAAATACAGTGGTTAAATTTAAACTTTTTTTCTTCTGCTCTTTGTTTAAAAAAAGTATAAATTGTTTTCAATAATTACTGATACGAAACATAATATTGTGTTTAATTTTTTAGCTATATCGCCCAGCCCTACCAGTCATGTGCTTTCATGTCTTTCGGGAGAAGTGAAGGAATTCATGGGTTGTAAATCTGACTCTGATTCTCTGCATTGCAGCGCAAACTAACACAGCAGCACCTATTACCCATTAGAGAACAACTGACATGGTCTTTATTAAGCAGTTTAAACAACAACATGCATTTACTTTAATTCACATATTTGAGAATAGGATTATCAGATATTTCACAATATAGTGGCTGTCCATTTGCGTCAGGCTTTTTCCTAATGTAGTGTGTCACATAAAGCAAATAAAAATCACTCTTCCTGTTCTGGCTGGTTTAAACAACAACATGCATTTACTTTAATTCACATATTTGAGAATAGGATTATCAGATATTTCACAATATAGTGGCTGTCCATTTGCGTCAGGCTTTTTCCTGACACATTTTTTTTTATGTCACATAAAGCAAATAAAAATCACTCTTCCTGTTCTGGCTGAAAGTCTTAGACAGGTTTTTGATTGCTTACATATCCTAAACATAAATTATTATATAAAACAACTGTATCTCTTCACAAGGTCTGGATTAACCTGCTTGACTTACATGGATTTGCCACCTTTATACGCTTTTTTCTTCTTAAGAAAGTTAAGTTTTTATAAGTTTTGGTTAAGTGTTGGTTAACCGGACATAAACATCTCAGATTTCATTAAAAACATTAAAGCCACTTGCCTAATATCATGCAGGTCCCCCTCATGCTGTCAGATCCGCTCTGATGCATTGAGCCGTGGACTTTTCTGAACGTGTCCTGTGGTATCTGGCATTAAGACATTAACAGCCTGCAAGTTGTGCAGTGGGGCCTCCGTGGATCGCATTTAATGGTCCAGCACATCCCATATATCAGTGTCGGTCTTAGGCTTCTGGGGGCCCTAAGCTACACTTTGTCAGAAGGCCCCAATGCGTTCATAAAAACCCCCAACCCCTTATTCTGTTGTTTCAGAACAGTTTCACTGTCAACAAACAACAGTGAGTTGTTTGACTAAAAATAATAGCCTACTACACAGAAACTGAATAAAGTCATCATATGTAAAAATCGAACACTGCTTAGTCTTCACCGTATTAATTAAATGTACATTGATTCTTACCAAAGTCATTGAGTGAAGAGCAGTGGTTCTCTCATTGTCTTTTGTTTGATTAACACTGACAGATCTAATAGACTGACAAGCATTCGATTATTTTCCACACTGTTTACGTTCACTTAAAGGGATAGTTCACTCAAAAATGAAAATCCTGTTATCACAACGCCGAAGATAAACAAAGGTCTTGCAGGTTTTGAACGACATGACGGTGAGTAATAAATGACAGAATTTTCATTTTTGGGTGAACTTTCCCTTTAAGACATAACTGAGTTGAAGAGAAACCCTCAAGACATAAAGACGGACATTTTGGCATAAATTTGTGTGTATTTGTCCTTGGAAACAGTGTCTCTTTCGCAGCTCAATATGCTTTTAGTATCGAGCACAGAAGACCGTATACTATGATGGCCATGTTACTTTATTAGACTGATTTGGATGATACGTAGGAAGGGTGACAGCGCGCTGCTTTAATGGAAAGGAATGCGGCATTGTGCTTTCATAATTGTTGGAAGCCAAAATCAAAAATGAAATGCACAGCACAGCACAGCACTAAATTCATCTGTGAAAGCAAGGAGGCCCCCTGGTGGTACGCAACCTGCGTGCTTTGCGTATAGGGAGGACCGGCACTGCCATAGATGCTCAATTGGGTTAAGATCTGGGGAATCTGGAGGCTCTTTGTCATGTTCCCCAAACCATTCGTGAACAGTTTTTTCAGTGTGACAGGGTGCATTATCCTGCTGAAAGAGGTCACTGCCTTAATTTGTGTTATAGAAGCTCTTCTGTGCGATCAGACCAGATGGACTAGCCTTTGCTGCCCATATGAGCATCCATGAGATTTGTTCTCCCATAACCCTGACGGCGATTCACCTGTTGTCCTTCCTTGAACTGACTGTTCACTTGCTGGCTAATGTATCCCACCCCTTGACAGGTGCCACTGTAATGATATAATCAGTGCTATACCCCAGGGCTGTTCAATGTTTGATTCCGATGGTTAACGAATATTCTAAAGCATGCAATTACTTTTACGGAAATCTGGCCAGTAGTGGTATTTTTTGAAGTGCGTTATAGTTCATGTTTATCATTAGATAATAGACAGTTATACTATAATTGAAACTATACTATAATTGCAGTTAGAGAACATGAGAAACACCTTAATGAAGACCACAACCAGATGCTAGTTGTCATATATTTAAGTTTTAGTCTTTCTGCCATCTTTCTATCTCTGTAGGTTCGCTGAATGCAATTGGTTGCCTTCTGCTTTTTAAACGTTTTTTACTGGCTTGAATTCCGTATTTGCTGCCCTTTTTAATATTCACGTAATGTTGTATGCTTTTATAAAAATAAAATGATGCTGGGATGTAAGTAATTAACCTTTTAAATTTAACATTTAAAAAATCTAAACTTATAAAAATCGAGTGTTGTCAATGTCTAAATGTACGTTAAAATGCAAAACCTAAAAAAGTAAGCAATTATAACCAGCGATAATCTTTTGAGCAACTATACATGTATACTTATTAAACATTACATAGGAATATTATCTTTCTGGCCACCAAATGCCTCTAATTTGCCTCTTTGCTCTGGAATTTAAAACTGTTTTCTCTATTTTAACCATAAATACTACACTAATTGTAATATATATATAATAAACATATTATAAAAAGTTATGTTTGAAATGGTTATTCAAGGTTCATAATTATTGTACATATAATTAATACCAAAAATCTACTCAAAATATAGAACTGAAGTAAAATATTGTACTTATTATTATTTAATTGATTAAAAGTTACACTTAAGGTGTTCTGCAACATTTGACTGCCCAGGAGTACGAGAACATTAATGCTGTCTCTTTTTCAGTCCCCAGAATAAAATGTGATTGTAAAGCGTAGTCAGCGTAGCTATCAAAGCACAATAAATGCACATTATGTGTTCATAATTACTAGAAATTTCTGCAAATACAGTGAAACTGCTGTCTGTCCTGATTAAACCCCTTCAATCATATTATCAGCGCGGAGTTGTTTGGAACTACTGAGAGTTCCTGTATTATGACATAATATCTTATACTTGGTCATGGTCATAATTATGAGATATTATCTCATTATAACACATGACACTTGGAAAAAAAATATATATATATACATTTTGCTAACTCTAAGTAACTATGCAACTACATGTCAACTAACTCTTATTAGAGTAGGTCAGTGTTAGTAATATAAATTGGTCACTTTATTTTAAGGTCCAATTCTCGCTATTAACAAGCATTTAACTACGCCTTTTACCTCAGTAAACTCCTAATTTGCTGCTTATTAATAGTTAGTAAGGTAGTTGCTGAGTTTAGGAATTGTGTAGGATTAGAGATGCAGAATATGGTCATGCACAATAAGTGCTTTATTAGCTCTAATAAATAGCCAATGTTAATAATAGGCATTCTAACAAGTCTAACTAGTTAATAGTGAGAATCAGTCCCTATAATAAAGTGTTACCAATAAGTTGGCATGCACTTACAAAGTTACTTACAGTCAGTAGAACGTCTGTTGGGGAACCATAAAATAAAGTGTTAGCAGATATTAAGCAGACAGTCTGATAATACTCTAAATAGTTGTAGTTGACATGTAGTTGTAGAATACCTAAAGTGGACTATCAAAATAAAGTTTTACCATATATATGTATATTCAATTCAAAATGATTTAACTTAAAGATTTTGTTGTTGTTCCAGCCCCAGAAGTATTTAGATTCAGGGATTTTTTTAAAGACTACCAGTAGAGGGCATTGTGGAATAATCCCACAGTAAATAAATCTTTTCTTTCTTTCTCTCACTCTATCTCTGTGTGTAGGTGATTCCTCTGTTTGCTGTAGAGTGTCTCCGCAGGCATAATGCACCTAATAATGTGGAGATGAAGCAATCACCGCCACACAGGAAAACCAATGAATAAACATACCTTAATCAGAACAGCACACGTTTCACCATCCCTGTGTAGGAATTCACCAACAATGACATGAATAAATTACAATTATAATAATAAAATATTAATAATAAAAATAGAAGTGTCTGTATCTAACATCAGTAGAAAGAATAAATTTACAATGTTAACTTTTTCATTGATTGTATTCAGCTTTATGTCGTTTATAGTCTTACTAATATTACTAACCATGATACTGATTTCTTTATCTTTTTGTAAAAGTTTGCTTCAAAAATGTAATTAAAATAAAGAGTTTGGTTAGTCTTCTGTATCACCTGGTTATTTCAGAAGTACAGTATGACTCATGGTAGACAATACAGCTTGTACTGAAGAGAACTCCTGTCACACTGAATGCAGCCGCTACACACAGCAGTGTTTAATGCAATGAACTCATAAGAGTGAAGAGCGATCTGATCCTTCAGACCCTTCAGAGACGGGGTCAGATGAAGGGACGGCAAATCAAAAATTAGGAATCTTTGTTTCAGCCTTTAAATGATGAATAAATCTAATTTAAAACGTCCTGCCCAAGGTTGTCCCGATGACTGGCCCATCCCAAATATATTTGAGCAGATTACTTATGAAGCTGTAGATTAATTCTGTCATTGTATGTTTTTAAAAACAAATCCAAGTGCATTGCATTTAAAAGAGAGTAATGCTGATATATTCACTGTGGCATGATTTCTGCACATCCTCAATGCAAGCCAGCATTACGAGCTTAAATTACATTTAACATTGCCCAGGTGTAAGGACTGCATGAATTTGTCCATACGCGTGACATGTTGCCAGACTGCTTATAGGCCACGTTCACACAGCAGCAGAGTCCGCTTGTCAGTCCTGCATCTGGGTCATTCGAACAGTTGCGTTCACACACGTTTCGCTTGTTTACGAGGGTGAGGACCAAATAAATGATAACTGTGGCTTCAGTAACTCACAGAGACGCAGATATGAGCTGTGCGTCATGTGAAGGTTTGGATCCAGGCGCTGTTCTCCACCGGACTCTTTACTGAGATAGAAAAGCTGCCATTTATTCAAGATTCAACAGATGAAATGGCACCACAATTGAATTGAATTTTATGTTGTATCAAATGCGAGACGACAAATGAATTTTTGCACATCGCCATCGTTGATATTTACTTAGCCACCTTCGCTGTGGTTACAGGTAATAGACACACACAGAATACACAATGATACAGACAGTGTTCTACTCTGGTAAACTGCTGTGTGAACAGGACATTGCACACTAACAGTGTGAACGTAGCCATAGTAACCTCTCAAGGTTTGGTATTTCATACATCAGAATATTGCGGCAATATCGTTCTCATTTGTCGTCTCATTAAGATGCTAAATATAGAATTCGATATAAATCTAGAAAGCTGTTCTTTTATTTCTAGCGAACATTGTATTACAGTCTCACAACTTTAAAAATATACATTTTTAGAGCACTTAGAACATTTATAAAGAAACAAAAAACTAACAGCGAACGTTATTTGAGAAACCACAAAAAAAGAGAGAAAAATAAAGTGATAGAGTGTGCTTAATCATGAGTAGATATACCCGTATCTGATTTCAAAACACTAGATTTCTGTCCTTTTTCACAAGGAAATGTCACAATCACCAGAGGACTTTTCTGATGTGTCATTAGCACCATCACTCACCAGGCCCAGGGTCGCGTGTGCTTTCATTCCCACATTAGTGTCTCTTCCCTTGGTACGAACCGGCTGGAGCGTAATGCTAAAGTGAACTAGCATACTGACCCCACACTGAAAGCCTGGCCGAAGGCTGCTTAATACATTCAGCTTGCCTGCTAGACTGAAGGTACGTACGCAGTTCATAAGCGTGAAACGAGACGTCATTACAGATTTAACAGTAGACTATTTCCTGTAGCATATTCACAGAACACTCGTAATATGATATCTACTCATATATTTGTGTACTTTGTCTTTTTCTTCCAGTAGTATTGGTTTGTTATAATATGGATTAAAAAGACATACCCTGCAGAAAAAGGCTTGAGATTAGCATAACTAAAAGGTGCGTGGTATCACAAAGACGTGATTTTTGATTGTCTCACTGTGCATTTTGGAACTGGTTAGCATGTGTTGTTCTACATTCTGAAATCACATTTAACAGTGGAGGAAAGAAGGGGAACAATTTACTAGCTATTCCATGGTATCTGTGAGGTTACCAATAATCAGACTCTAGACCTTCCTGTGGTGTCGATCCGAAGCCTTACTGCTGTCTCTCGTGCTTAGAGCCTTGAGGTAAATGGGTGCTAGTCTTGATTCCTGGCTGGAGCTCAGGGGCGGACCAGCGTCTCTTGCGGGCGCGGGGCCGCTCGCTTAGCAAACTGGAAGGAGAAGGCTGGACCGCTGGCGGAGACGGAGGCGCGGGGGCATGGGGCAGCCTCTCCGCCAGCTCCACCGCATCCTCTGAGCGTATGTGCGGACGCTGCACCTGACTGCCGGAGTGAGGTGAAGCAGGTGTGGGAGTCAGTGCCAGACACACGTCGCCTGTGCTGAGCTGACGGCACTGCAGGCCATACACCTGGGCGCTCCGCTGGGGACTGCAAGAAGACCAGCCGCGGTCCCGGACGAAAAACGGATACTCCGCTAAGACTGTGAGCAGCTCCTGCCGGAACAAGAACGTACATTTCGGTAAGGTTGCAAAGCCACCCATGATGACATTTCACAAAGAAGGATTCACATTCGGAGAGAGAAATACATTAAGATTTTGTATGTGCACTGTATTTGAAAAACACTTCAAGTGGCAGTACTTATCAACACACGGTTTGCTCAATAATCCTTTGTCAGAAAACAGAATTTGTTCACAATTAATTTATTTTTGAGCTATCAACGCTATGTAGTTTTATGACAGCCAAATCTCTCTGACAAAACAACATTGTTGTGTTTTCTTATTGTTAAAAATACTTTATTTTGTTGCAAACTCCAAATATAGCTCACGCCAAAATGAATGTGGTAATATGTTGAAGAGTAGAGGCTGTCAGTTCATAAAGTGACCTTCCCGATTCCTATCCTCAAATTGATATCTATTATAAAAAGCCAACAGATTCTCACTCACAAGGCATCTAATAATTAAAAATCATGTCATGTCGAAATTATACCCCAGCATACCGGTTGCAACAAAACCCTAATACCCTAATAGTAGCTGTTGATCTGACATATTATTAACATATTATGACAATATGTTAATCTTAAGGCTATGTGATCCAAACAATTGAAAAAATCACAAGTTGTAAGCATGCACAATTTACACTTTCTCTCTACCACTAAGGCTCAAGGACTTTGATGACATAATTCGGAATCATCCCACCCCTTACATTATAAGCAGAAAGTAAAGCTTCCTCTGAAATCTGTCACTTTTCAAACATCTACTATGTTCTATAATGTGAATGGCACATAGTGCAACTATATAGGGGATAGGGAGCAATCCATACGCGTTCCATTAGGGGCAATGAAGTCTGGTTTCGTGCCAGTGTCACGCAAACCTCCACAGGGTGCACACAGTGTGGTCTGGTCCAGAGACATGACAGCACAGAGCAGATCATATTCTACACTGAATGCTGTACTACAAAAATTGCAAATGGTTAGACATCTTCTACGTTATAAACGGCACTGACGAGCAGAAGAAATACTACCCATGCTATGTGATGAGCCACTTGATATGCTCTCCTGTTTCAGTGGAAATTATGTCAACACGCTGAATAACTCTGCACATTTCAAGGTACTTCAGTGGGACTTTAAGTAACCTTTTCAGATGTCTGAAGGATGTCAAATACTGGAAGGAAAAGAACTTCCTTCAGTTGAACAAGAAAAAACTAATTTATTAGGCTCCTCTACTGCCCATTTTGGTAATTATTTAGGCCACTTCAACATGCACAAAAAATGTCAAAATTGTTGTCATGTTTTTATAGGTTGTTTAATACATTTCAGAGTCAACTGTCATAGGCTTTGTCCACAATAATACGTTTTCGTTTGAAAATGCATCCTTTCTCTCAGTTTTGGCCTTCCGTCCACACTGAGACGGTGTTTTTGTCAAGGAAAATGCTCTCCAAAGTGGAAAAATTTGAATACGCTGTTTTCGCGTTGTAGTGTGGACTGTGAAAACGGAGGCTTTTGAAAACGATTAAGCATGTTTATTCATGTGACATGTATTGTACCAATAGATATCTATGTTTATACCAGTATCATGCCTGTTATGTGCTATTCACTTTCACACTATTGCTATAGATTTACTATAGATGTTACTTGGTACACTTTTCATATCACAGTCCTGGTTCCCGAAAATGTACTCGCAATTGCTGTTTGCGGCAAAACATGAGGGCAGTTGCATTTTAGATCAGACATACAGTTGTGAGTGAGTGCGACCTGGACGCGTCAGTGAATGGGGAGATATTTTCGTCAATAAAATGATCCTACCAGAAGAATTGCATGAAAACGTAAAGTATTATGTCTGTTCCGTCTTTATGCATGCACAGTAGGCTTTATGCATGCACAGTAAAGCGAATTTAATGTTTTCTATCGTTTCAGTGTGGATAAGAAACTTTTGGAAAACGCTTGAAAATGCTAGTGTGGATGGAGAGCATTTTAAAACGAAAACAGAGTTTTCAAATGTATCCGGATTAATGTAGACGTAGCCATAGTTTAGTTGTGTTAATGTAACTGGCTGCATTTTATTTTATCCTTTCTTATCATCACTTTGTGTAGTACAGCATTAATAAAAAATACACTTAAATAAATTGACTTGACTTGAATTTGCAGTAAATTTTGATTTCTGTACATACTTCTTGTGCTAAACTCACCTGAGTGTTGCGGTCTGTGAGCAAGACCTGCAAGTGGTTGAAGCCGTACGTGGGTCCGGGTGAGATTAAGAGAATAGTGCAGGTGCTCAGGTGAAACTCAGGCAAGGTGTCAGCACTTCGCACAAAATCCTCTGTCTTCAGCTCCTCCACCCTCTTCAGATGGCCGCCAGCCAGCTCGATCAGGGAACCTTTGGCAAAATGAGGTAGGACTGCAGAAGGGGGTGGGTCAGGGCCAGTGAGCACAGCGACGGGAGGGTGGTAGGACCCTGCTGAGGGATCCCATTCTGTCTCAAGCCCATGGCTGTTGTGTTGGCTTTGCAGGAAGTGATGTGACTTCCTCGGGGAGCAGGACACAGAAGGACTAAGTTGTGGGTACTTTTGAGAGTTATGGTGGGCAGATTGGCAAAGGGACCCCACAGCATAGTAGATCTGAGCTCCAGCCTGAGAGGCACTACCACCGAAATGGTCCTGAGAAGTGACTGCCCTTCCTGTCTTTGCGTCTGGTGAGGGGGGTATTGGCGTTTTGGGTGTTCCCCGAGGGTCCCTGTCCCACGGTAAGGAATGTGCACTTGTGCTCTCTCGTGGCAGAAGGCCTCTTCCGGTGGTCTGTCTTGTTGTGTTCTCCTGTCTTCTCCTGCCATTGGCATGTGGACCGTCTAACCTGGCCACATTGTCGTTCCCACGGTCATCGCAAGAGGGCATCCTTCTGCTAGGCCCAGACCCACTATCTGTGCTTTCAACACCATTGGGCCATCTGCCTTGGTACCTGAGTCTGCTGTCTGGGAGAGTGTCGTGGGGATAAACTGTAGGCTGTGGAAAGAGGTGAGGAGAGAAGAGAGACGAGCTATAGTCTCGTCGACCAGGGCTGTAGGACCACATTTCTCTGGATTCGCCTGCGTAGACACTTTTGAACATGGGCACAGAGATGAGTGGTTGCACACTAATTGGGGGGATGTCAGTGCTCAGCCAACGAGAGTGATGGGCAACGGTGTGCTCCAGTCCTCTGTCCACACCCCGTCCACACAACGCCTCTCTCCAGGATGCCGAAGCTGACCCTCGCCTCTCTCCCACCTGGACCGGCAGGTATGAGGGATGCCCGGAGGGAGTATAGGACACCTGCCAAGGCAACGACAGAGGACGGGGTGGCAGCGTGGGCGGAGGGGGTGGTAGAAGATCCCCGCTCTCTCGGTGACCCTCCGTGGAGTGGTGCAGCCTTCGGCTTCGAAAAGGGGCGGGGGGTTTGAAGTCATCCTCTGGGGCCGGCTGATCTGACGAGCCCTGTCGGGAGTCCCGCTTTTTAGGGGGGAGACACTCCTTGCTGCGGTCTGGGCTTGGATTCATGGGACAATCCCCCGGGCCTTCTGGGCCACTCTAGGTTACATGAGCTGGGAAGAACAAAGGGCTAGGAGAAAGACATGTTCTTCTGCTTATCAGCATCACGCACACTACGTGTCACACACGGCCACGTTCAGAACTCCCGCTCACCTGAGAGAGAAAAGGGCAAAAAAATATATATACATGTATGCATATAAATAAATAATTAAATAACTAAATAAAAATAGTACTGACCTCTTGCAGTAGCCCTAAACAGTATATTTGATTCACAGATAAAACTTATTTCTGAATGTCACTGCAGTACCTAAGCAGATTAACCATAGATTTAGTTCATCAAACATTTTAAAGAGTGTCCATACACTTTCAGGGGCCACTTCATATGATTACCTTATTTTCTGTTTGCTTTTTTATCTGTTTTTCTGTTGTTGTTTTTTTTTTTGCATGCCCTTATTTGTGTATTTCTATAGTTGTATTTTTATATTATATTAAATTGCATTTATTTGTATATTTACATTCCACCCAGTGTTTAGTGTTATCTGTATGCACCAAGGGTCTGAGAGTAACATAATTTGAATTCTCTGTATGTGCTGTACATGTGGCAGAATTGACAATAAAGCAGACTTTAACTATGACTTAATGGCTATGTAGTTGCAGACTGGAACATCTGAAAGCTTTATACTGGGAGAAATAAATTGTCCAACTGTTCTAAATATAACTTCCACACGGTTATCACCATATTGCTGTTGTGCTACCAACAAACACACAAAAACATATACTGATAGACAAACAATCAGGATTTTCTCACCCACACACATACAAGTATGGCAAGAGACTACATGACAGTTAAGAGCTTGTAACACTCCAAAGACAAAGGAAAAATTGAAATCGCATCATATGACCCCTTTAAATAGGTTGTTTCTGTTTAATAAGCTGTGATGAGAATCTCCGGACTTATTCCAGAACTTACTGTAGTGATTGGGAAAGTTACCTAACGATTAAAGATCACCAATGCAGAGGCATTTAAAACATACACACGCACGCACACACACACACACACACACACACACACACAAAGAAGGCTGAAAGGTTTAAAGCAGTGAAACTTGCTTGTTTCATTCACACCTTCTTGTGGGGAACTTTCTCTAATGTCAATCCAGCACTTTAAATTAGACACTTATATTTGACTGCAATACACTGCCAGCACATCTGGTCTCTTTCTCAACGCCTCTGTCTACCACACTGACTACATGGATTGAACCCAATACCCTGCTGTTGTCTCCATGGAAACTGAGTCCATACATCTACAGTGACCAAAGAGAGCTGAGAGGGTTAAACATATGTAGGGAGCTGAGCATCATAAAACACAATATGATTTGTCAAGTGCTTCCAAATGCTTCATTTTTTCTGATAGTGTTTACACACTGTATTTGCATATCACAAGTCACATGCTGTAGTGTGTAAAGTAATTAAACTGCACATAATGTTTATCTCTCAATGCTGCATAAATAAATTTTCATGATGCAATACATGACCCAAGTAAGGAAATTCTGGAATATTCATGTTACTCAATGAATGAATGAATGAATGAATGAATAAATGGTAATTTTTCATTCTAAACAGAAACGGAAATGTTGCAAAATATAAAAGCTAGACATAGAAAGTAACTTAAATCATGTAAACGGATATTTATGTATTTTCTTTCTTGAGTTGTTACTATCCCTAGGTAAAGAGTTCATAAGTACAATTTAAACATTACATACCTCCTGACAGCTGTAAACATGCCACAATTATCTCTGCACATCTCGTTTTTGAAAGTTGGCAACAAATATATTCTACACCCTATACCAAAATCCCTATGCTTACTCCTAATCATTTTTATAGCCCTGCTTGTTGTGACAAATTAAATCACTCTAACATGATGGTTCTGGATCATGTACTGCAAATTTATACATTTAGATATGATCTTTGGAAAGCTTAGGCATTCTATTATTTAAAAAAAAAAAAAACAGTAGAAAAAACACTGACAGAATCAATCTGACAAACACAACTAGTCTTTAAGAGGTGCATTCCAGGCTCATTTAATTATTTCAGAAGTTTCAATGTCTGTTCATTCTCACCAGCTTCTTCTTTTAATGCTAACTCAAGTTCTAGTGCAAATACTTTGTGCCATACACACTAGTGGAAAAAGATCTTCGATGACTCTTACCAAAAAAAACACACACACTACATAACTGCAGAGTAATTACTCATTGAAAAACACAGATTACGGAAAAATAACATTTGTTTTACTTCCAGACACGTCTCAAGCACACACACAGTAAACAATTTTAATGAATTTGATTGAGATCAAAATGAAAAGCACTGCTGACCTGATGCGACTGACCTTGATGGGGTGTGCTGAGCAGATATCCATGTGATGCCACTTACTCCTGCAGTCCATCACACCTGCAGCCCTTCTACACACACACAGACACACCAGTAAGGCAATGGTGTGTGCAAATCTACGGGCAAAATGTGGTGTCACACCATGTCGAAAGGCTGTGAGGCTGACTGTGAAAAAGTGTGAGAGTTTGTGCGTGTGTGTGCATGTACACAAGGCTGAGGAAATGAGTAATATCGTGCAGTGTGAGGCATGTCTGCTGTGCAACAACACACAGGCAGACCAGTTGCTGCTGTCGCCCACTCGCCTTACTCACTGTGAAAGGGATAAACACACACACATGCAGTAACAGACGGGTAATTACACACACTCCCACTCATGCTATCGCTCTCAAACACACACTCTCAGCTCTGAGCATATGCATTTACATACGTGATAAGCATGTAGATAGATAGTGATATATACTCCGGTTTTAAACACATCATTACACTGTAAACAATTTACAGGATTTTAGATGATTTTCTGACCATAAAGAAGAATAAGAAATTTGTATTATCAAGTCCTTTGGTGAAAAAAGGGCCATTTTCTGACGAAAAATTTCCAACTTTATAGCTTTGCATTGTGAAATAATCAGGTGTTTCATAGAAGTCACTATTATGGCGATCAGTGTCCACTCTGGCAGAGCCTTTGGACGTATTTACTTTTAATTTTTTTATTTTGTGTTTTGATTTTAAAACACAGTTTTGTGTTGTGTTACATAGTTTAATGATTGTCTCTAACCAGGTGTGCAATGGTAAAGCATCTCTTCCATGTTAATTTCAAACTACATTAATTAGTTTGTGTATTAACCAGCCAAAACAAACCATGAGAGACATTTTGTCGTGCTTGATTTCTGTTTCTATGGCATCATACTGGGTAGTCTCATATACACTGAAAACCCACTGGATCAAGCATTAAAAAAAAAAATGGAGGATGTGGAGGAAAAACTTGTGGAAGTTGAAAAATGTAACCCACGTCAGATGGTTGGAAGCCCAATAGAATCATACTAATTTATTGGTTGATGGCGCTAAAGCGATACTACCAAGGTGCTACGTGGTAGCTTCCATATAACTTTCTGCTTGGCAGCATCAAACCTCCAATTTTCAGAAGATGCTATGCAGCATCTTGTTCCCACTCAGGGAAACAGAGTAACAGTAATCTTCTAGACACTCCCTTTAGACGTTCCAAACCCAAACCCAACCCTAACCGAAGATACGAGAATACTTTTTGTATGCAAAGAAAACAAAAATAACGACTTTATTCAACAATTCGTCTCCTCCACGTCACCCTGGTGCCCTTTTGGAGAGTATCCACTGAATGTAAACAGCGTATGCTATTCTGTGTCAGCTGCGTCACAGCGTCAAAGTCGTTATTTTTGTTTTCTTTGTGTACAAAAAAAGTATTCTCGTTGCTTCGTAATATTACGGTTGAACCCCTGATGTCACATGGATTATTTTACTGTTCTCATTGCTACGTTTCTGGACCTTAATCATGGTAATTACATTGCTGTCTATGGGAGGGTCAGAGAGCTCTCAGAATTCATCAAAACATATCTTAATCTGTGTTCCGAAGATGAACAGAGGTCTTACGGGTTTGGAACGACATGAGGGTGAGTAATTAATGACAGAATTTTCATTTTTGGGTGAACTATCCCTTTAAGCCTGCAAAGCCATACACTAGCTGGGAAGAGTATATGCATATCGTCATGCTCCTGCAACATAACCATAGAAGGAAAAAGGTTTGTAAAGTGATAGTTTTAGTTAGATTTAAAGCATGTAGTAAATAAACTAACTCGAGTATCAAAACTAGCTTTGAAAGTCCTGTTGTTGTTTTTTTTTTTTTTTAATAAATACAGGAAAATTCGACAAGGAATGCTAATCATCAACACTCTTAAACAAGGCCTTTTTAAGAGACAACACCTTATCAGACACAAACGATAAAGGCTCAAATGTAGGACCCAAAAGCAAAACTATAGACAAATTCCAGGGATTTGTAAGGGAAATCAAATAAGTGAATGAGAAATGGGCAAAAACGTTGTGGCCTGCATGCCCCATATATAAATTGAGAAACCAGTTGATGTCTCTTAATAGAAACACCATCTAAGCCTCTACAGTATTAAAATAAAGTAATGAGAGGAACATCAGCAAGAACCTGATGAAAACAGGTTCATTTCCACTCTGCCTCCAGATCTGTTTCACAATCTGAGTAAGTAATCTTAATTCTGTACATTGTACATTCAATCTGTACATTGCTCCCACAAAAGGGTATGATGGGTTAATATGTGGCCATGTGGCTTGCAAACGCACCCCTCCTTGACCGATTGGTGTGGAACACCACCTTCACAAAAAAAGACATGACTGCTCCGAATGTCTTGAAGGAAAATCGTCAGTGCTAAAAACACTACTTACATCTCCAGACAATGTATGTGCCAAGCAAGCTGCTGACCCATCCATAACCTGCAGTAGGGGTGTGCAGCGAAGCCAATATTTGTATTTGTTTCTGTGTATGTAAAACTTGTAAAACAATAATGCTATATAATATATAAAAGAAGGGGGAAAGCATGAAATCATGTTCTAATGTTTGGTCCCCAGTGCGAGCTGCAGGGTGAATCTAAACCACAGAACAATTGTTATTTTACAGTGACACACCAAACCAGGAGAAGGGGAGAGACAAAGTTTAATATGTAGTGGCATAAGTGCAGCTGGACCTCCTGCTTCCTTTTCTTTTGCAATCCAGAATGCCAGCACAGCAGAAAGCTTTTTCACATTTGGTGAAAGCGCTTTTACATTTGTGAAAAACATAACTTTTTTATATCAACAAGAAAGAAGCAAGCCCAGCCCAGATAAGAAAAAGTAATGCATATTTTAATTTAAAAATCTTTCTGCCATTGTAAGGCCTTTGTCTACAGTATCAGCACAACACTCAGGGCAAAAGTTAATCTGTCTCTCACAGTCTTCTTAACTCCAGATCAGATGGTAAATTCAGCTTTGGTAAGCTCTGCCACCAGCTCCAACTCCCCACAATTCCCTGCTAGACCTTGCTCCCAATCCAGTCAATGGTGGGAACATCACAGGGCACACAGAACCTGCCATCCTTATCCTCGGGTATCTGCATCAAGACAAAACTCTTTCCTTGCTGCTTCTGGAGGGTTCCATGGCTGATATCCTCCTTGAACGTCCATAGCTTATACTCTATTCACCCAAACTCTCCTGGTCCACTCCTTAGGTTCTGGAATGAGGATACAGATGCTTTCAAGGGTTTCTTCATCTGCCAATGGCTGCTACAGGCCATCAGCACCTTGCAGCATAAAGTATACTTTGTATATAAACTGGCAGATACATTCACATTGGGAATTTCACCAAACTAGGACTTCTAGGGACTGTTTAATGGTATGGAACCCATGGACTCTATGCTTTTAACAGCCTAAGTTTTCTAAGGTTTGTTGTGTTGTTTTAAGTTCCATGTGGAAATTGTACATGTACTTTGTTTATTCACTTTATAACTTTTTGTATGTCTCATCTTTTTAAATGCTCCCAACCTCACAGAGTTTAATCTGACCCTATTTTAATCAACTGTAACAATACCATCCGATAAGGCCAATCATTACAACTGAACCTAAACGCCAACTCTCTCTACCGCCTCCACTCCTCTGAGATCTCCAATGCTGAGCCCAAACCAACCCTGCATCTGCCCATTATCGTGAGCTCAATCCAGTGGATCCTGGATAATCAAATCGTGGAAACAACCATAGCAGCACAAACCTCATGAATTCTGTTCACTGAGCTACCCCTCAGACCTGAAATTCAGCTGCTGGGGGCTCCCCTCTTTCTCCCTTTTTTCTCCTCCATAGTAGAGTATATGTTATAAGTCCTCTCAGTTTTTTTTCAGTATTTTATCTACAAAAACCTATTGTCAAGATTTATAGGGTATGACAGGGCTAAAGGCACCCTGGGGTAAAAGACGCCTTTTATTTTTTTCCCTCTAAACCACTAGATGGTACAAAAACTTGGTGTAGCTCTTTCCAAAACAGCTTTTTAAGATGCACGTGCAAATTTGGCTGATCCTTGATGTAATTGCGGGCAGCAGAGCAAAGTTGATTCTGTGCTAACTTGATTTAATATTTGATGTTTTTTTAAAACATTGTAGATTTAAGCAGCAAATGAGAATTGCTAACATTATTGCATATATTTTGAGACAAAGGTCTTCTTAAATAATTTTCTGTTTTGTTTAAGATAATTAAAGCAACAGTTTTTCAATAACTGAAGAATATTTCAAAGTATGGGTACATGGTTAGATTCAGATGGTAAATATCAAATATTATGTTGGGTGTTCACCTTGTTTATAATGAAACTATCATATTTACAAATATTATATTTTTTAAAAAATCACTTGTTACTACTGTAAATTTATATTAAATTATTATGGGACCTCCTTCAATGCTTTCAGAATCTTTACTTTTTAAAATAATTTTGTTTCATTTTTAAAAATGTTTTTATATTAAAATATTTTAATTACAGTATATTTATTGAACAAAATTAATTATTTTATTTATCAAAATAAGCGGGAAATAGTACAAACTTTGCAAAATGGATTTTAAGTATTAACATTATTAAATATATTAGCTAAAATATTTATATCAATACTCTGTGCCGTTTGCCCCATGCTGGCCAGCCCTTTTACCCCGTATGTGGGTAGGTTCACGCGAAGGACGGACACCCGGGAGGAGGACGACAAACAGAGTCCAGGGTGGAGACGACGGACGGAGGAGCCAGGGCGGATCAGACGGAGAGAGGAGCCATTTTGGAGGCAGAAGGGACCAGGGCAGATCAGATGGAGGGAGGAGCCAGGGAAAAGACAGGAGGGAGCAGTCGGAACAAGGCGGGACCCAGGCCTCAGCCATGAAGGCGACCCACAGTGGAGCCAACTGAGGGAGGAGCCATGGTGGAGGAAGGGCTGATAGCTCCAGGGGGCCGACCGAAGGTGGCAGAGCAGGTGGTGGTGGAGCCCGAGGCTGAGACGAAGAGCCAGGGTGACGCT